GGCAACAACCCCCAAATGTTTAGCAAGCCCTAAATGAAAATGTGGAGGGAACAGAATACCAGATTGTGTGCTGATGCTGTGTGATTGCTGTAGTGGGGACTTATGGGACTTCCTCTCTGCATCCTCAGATAGTGTCTGGGATTACTGTGACTGGGGTTTGCAGATAAGGAAGAGGCTCCTCTGCTGCCCAAGAGGGTCAGCCTGACAAGATGGTCATACAGACAAGCCTGCAGCCTGTGTGAGCAGAAAGGCCAAAGGAAATAAACATGAAATCTGTCCTGCAGGACTAGGGAGCTTATGTTTCTTTTTTGCTTTCTTTCTGATACTATTAAATACTCGGTATGCCAGTGAACTGTACTAAACCAAGTTAAGGAAATCCCCTTTCCCCTTACCAAAATTAGTGACTTTCTTAAATACTCTTGAAGAATTTCTTTGCAAAGCTTCTCAGACCTTTTTGTCTCTTTCTTAATTTGCTCGTTTCCTTCTTTGGATTTGAAATTCTGATCTCAAGTCCAAAATATGGTACCAGGCTTTGGGCTGAGACTCTTAAACTTTTGTCAAGGCAGTCCCTGGGGAGGAAGATGGGGCTGTGAGACTCCCCAGTGTGATCATATAAGGGGTGGTTTGGAATATAAACTCATATCTGGCTTTTTTGCAGATATGGTGGGGCTTTTTGTTTCTGTTTTTGTTACTTTTACAAATTTTTGGTTTGTGGTAACCCTGTTTTGAACAAAGTCTGTCAACGCCATTTTTCCAACATCATTTGCCCACATCATGTCTGTTACATTTTAGTAATTCTCCCAGTATTTCAAAATTTTAAATTATTATGATGTTTGTTATGGTGATCTGTGATCAGTGATTTTTGTTAATATGGTAATTGATTGGGGTGGGACACCACCCCATATAAGAGGGTGAATGTAATCAATAAATGTGTGTGTGTTCTTACTGCTCTAAGGACCAGCTGTCACCCCGCCCCCCACTCCTATTGAAATTAGGCCAATTAGGAACCATACAATGGCCTCTAAGTGTTCAAGTGAAAGGAAGTGTCACATGTCTCTTTCAGTCAAAAGCTACAAATGATTAAGCTCAGTGAGGAACGCATGTCTGAAAGCCGAGGTAGGGTGGAACGGTCAGCCTCTTGCACTAGTTAGCCAAGTTCTAAACACAAAGAAAAAGGTATTGAAGAAGGTTAAAGGTGCTACTCCAGGGAACACATGAATGATAAGATGATGAAACAGCCTTATTGTTGATGGGGAGAAAGTTTTAGTGGTCTGGATAGAAGATCAAACCAGCTGCAGCATTCCCTCAAGCCAGAGAGAGCCTAATCCAGAACAATTCTGTGAAGGCTAAGAGAAGTGAGGAAGCTGCAGAACAACCGTTGGAAGCTAGCAGAGGTTAGTCAGTGAAATTCAAGGAAAGAAGCCATCTCCATAACCTAGAAGTGCAGGGTGAAGCAGCAAGTGCTTATTCAAGTTATGCAGAAGATTTAGCTAAGATAATGAAGGTGGCTACGCTAAACAGATTTTCAGCTGCCTGACTTTAAAGCTTCCAAAGACTGCCTGACTGTTCTTAGGGGTATAGGCAGCTGATGATGTAAAGTTGCAGCCAGTGTTCACTAACCATTGTAAAAATCCTAGGGCCCTTGCGAGTTATGTTAACCTACTCTACCTGTGCTCCATAAATGGGGGTGGGAGGGTAGGAAAGCCTGGATGACAGTACACCTCTTTACAACATGCTATACTTTAAGTTCACTGTTGAGACCTACTTACTGCTGGGGGTGGGGGAAAGATTCCTTTCTAAATATTACTGCTCACTGAAAGTACACCTGGTCACCCAAGAGATATACAACAGGATTAATGTTGTTTTCATGCTTGCTATGCATTCTGTAGTGCATGGAAGAAGGAGTAATTTTAACTTTCAAGTCTTATTATTTAAGAAATATTTTGTAAGGCTCTACCTGCCATAGATAGTGACGACTCTGATGGATCTGGGAAAACTAAACTGAAAATTTTCTGGAAAGGAGTTAAAATTATAGATTCCATTAAGAACATTCATGGTTTGTGGGAAGAGGGCAAAATACCAGCATTAAAAGGAGTTTGGAAGAAGTTGATTCCAACCCTCATAGATCACTTTGAGAGGTTCAAGGCTTCAGTCGAGAAAGTAGCTGTAAATGTGGTGGAAACCTCAAGAGAACTAGATTTACAAGTGGAGCCCGAAGATGTGACTGAATTCTTCAATCTCATGATAAAACTTAAAATGAAGAATTGATCCATAAGGATCAGCAAGAAAAGTTGTTTCTTGAGATGGAGTATACTCCATCTGTGGGTAAAATGCTACCAAACAGTATTGTACACTGCAAAGAAATCTTTGTGAAAGGAACAATCACTGCAGCAAATTTCACTCTTGTTCTGTTTTAAGAAATTGTCACAGCCACCTCAGCCTTCAGCAACTACTACCCTTATCAGTCATCAGCCATCAACATTGAGGAAAGACCTTCCATCAGCAAAAAGATATAACTCACTGACGGCTCAGATGATGATTTTCTTTTAGCAGTAAAGTAGTTTTAATTAAGCTGTTCTATTTACACTGTTTTTTTTTTTTATACATAATGCTATCACAGACTTCTAGACTACAGTATAGTAAAAACATAACTTTTATATTCACTGGGAAACCAGAAAATTGGTGTGACTCCCTTTATCGTGATATTTGTTGTGTTGTGATGGTCTGGAACTGGACATGCATGATCTCTGAGGTATGCTGATAGAAAAAAAAACAACCCAAAAACCCTAGATTTGATGGAAGCCTAAAGGAAACAGGCTTTGCATAACTCCCCTTCAAGCATGAAGTACTGCCTTCTAAGTAGCCTGAGTGGGAGTTTTTTAGACAAATGCTGGGGGACTAAGGTACAATGTTGTCATAGACCAGCCATGGGCATAAGGCTTTGGCACTGAGAGAGCTTGAACCTTGAGGTAGTGATGGGGCCTAGTTTAAGTGCCTAGTAAACTGCCTCTAGTCTGGGCCCATTCCCCACACTGTTTCTGAAACGACAGAAAATGCCACTTTCAGTAATAGGGTTCCTTATCTAATCCTGCTCTATGGAACAGTAGTCAGGTTTAATATTTCCTCTCAGTTTGTGGTCTTTGGTGTAATACCACTTGTTGAAAGAGAACAGTTGACAGCCAGGCATCTGGAAACAGCAGAGTGTAGCTTAATTACTTTGCCTACTCTCTGACCTCATTACCTCTGTGCTCTGTTCCATTATATTTATTCATCTCTGTATTTGGCACACAATAAAATGATAGCAGCCAACATTTACTAACCACTGTATTTTAGTCACTGTCCCGAGCTTTTTACTCATTCAGGACATAAGAACTATTATCCCTATATTCCTATCCCAACAGAAATTACATGACTTGCCTAAGGTCACACAGCTAATAGCAGAAAGCAAAACCAGAATAAAAATTTAGGTAGTCTGGGATCAGAATTTCATTATTAAGTCACTCCCACTGTAGGCAGAACTGTCAACCTCATCCTTTAGGAAGCTAGGTTGTTAAAGATGAAACTAAAAAGTAGCTTTTATGAGACTCATTCTTAACTGTTTTGTTCTTTCAAACTATAGAAGAATAACACCAGGCTGTTTTGAACCTACTTCTTTACCTATTTGGTTATGTAGAAACATTTACTTTCCCCAGCTCTGCTGAAGGCAGGATTTGGATGTTTCTTTGCTACTTGGAGCCTCCTGCCCTGGCTATTTCAGTGTCTGGTGTCTGCTGATGATAATGGACTAGGAGCAGAAGCCATCTTTGAGGGCACCCATTCAATGTTAATTCTGGATTCTAGAGAAAACAAGACTCCTATTGAGGATTCCAAGTCTTTGAGGAGGAGTGCTCCTCTAACAGTCTTTAGATAAGTCACTCATGTTGGGGTCCATTATTAAGGACTCTACTTTTCTGAAAACGCTCATTTTCTGAAGTCACCGAATCAGGTTCTGGGGATTGAGAGGTAATTAAGACAGGAGCCCTGTCTTGATAAGTAAAATAGACCATGGTGTGGCCAGTTGTGGAAGAGCATTTTAAGCAAAGGGCAAAGGGTATGGAGAGCTGCCCAAAAGATTTTATGGAAAAAGCTGGTTCCAGGAGCTTCAAAGTCAAGTATTATTCATTCACTACCCCAATATTTGATAATAATTATCTACTTGACACTGGAGATACAGTGGGGAATAAAACTATCTTCACGGAGATTATTAGAAGAGGGAGCAGACAGACAAAATAATACATAAAAATGTCAAGTAGTGGTAAGTGCTGTAAAGAAAAATAAAGCAGGATAAAGGGCCAATGGAGCAAATGAGAGGGATGCTAGTTTAAAGTGATCACCTCTCTGAGGATGTGGTATTCGAGCAGAGACCTGAAGGAACTAGGGCAGAGCTGAGCAAGTTGGAGCATTAACCCAGCGATTTTCAACCGATATACTGCAAGAATTTTTACAACATGCAATACCTGACTGTTTTGTCAGTAGGACTGACCCCTTTTCCCTTAGATTGTCAAATAAAAAATGACAACAACCAACACAGTAATAACTATCTGGTGTGAATTAATCAAAATTATGCCTCTCCGCGCCCCCCCCCCCTTGGTCAGACTGGTAAAAAGTGTAATATATTTTTTGGTTTGCTGCAGAACTTTAGTAATTAGTTCATGTGTGCCATGATATGAAAAAGATTGAAAATCTCTGCAGTAACCCAAAAATCCCACGTCCAAGCAGGACAATGAATTCTCTCAGACTACTCCCAGGGGGAGGATGGCCCTGCCCAACTCTTTTACCTAACTTTGGGATCCGGAATTCTAATGACTGACTGCTTTCTATAATAGTCTGTAGATGGTAGGGAAATAGCCAGTAGGGAGGAAGTAGAATAGTTCTCTTGGAGCAGTCAGATGTTTGTGCCACAGAAGGTGGTTCACCTTGGTGTTTCCATCCTCCTTACAGTGCTTTCTTCTTTCTTTTAGTTTGAAGGATGACCTCTAGGAAGAAAGTGTTGCTGAAGGTTATCATCCTGGGAGATTCTGGGTAAGTGTTTCTCATAAATTTGAGCTAACAAATTGGCTTGGATTAAAAGCTTCACTTCATCTCCTTGGAACCCAGGCCCTCCATGCTGACATTTGCTGCTTCTCTAATTGTGGAGGCATTAGGGTCCTAGCTCTCCCTGCTATTCCACCATATTTCGGGGCACAGCAGAAATTTGAATTATTCCTTGTTATACTGTATAACCTATGTTCCCTGAGTTTTGGCATGATTTGGTGTAAAGGGTGGTTATTTGAATTCAGCTAATAATAATTTCGTGGAATCCCTTTTTTCCAAGGTGATTAGACTAGGGACTCCTGTTTATGTAGACTTGTTGCTTTTGGCATTGTGCCTACCAGATGGGGGATTGGGTTATGTTGTGCAGTATTCTCCTACTGCTGTGCCTGTTTTTGGCCTATATTTGGCCTATATTTTGGGACTAGAGAACTGGGTTCTGAATCAAGATCTGCCACTGACTCTGTAGTAGCTGCTAAGATTCTGTGGGAGTCTTTTTAGATTTGGCTTCTGAAGTGACATATGAACATTTAGACCTACCGGAGGCTACATATTTTAAAAAATAAATTAATAATAATAAATGCCTCCTCATTCCAAAGATACCTGCCCTTCCTTTAAAAAGGCAGCAGTTTTTCTACCTGGCTTTTTTAAAAATCACCTGAGGAGCCTTTTAAAAGTTAGCTTTTGCCCAGACCAGTGGGCTAAACCTGGTTGGCAGTGCTTGCTCTCATTTTCTCTCACTTCCTCCCTCCCTCTCCAACTGACTCACATACACTCACTTTCTGGTGATTCTGTTGTGCTGTCAGGATTGGAAGGTACTCTTTTAGGCCTGTGTTACCCAGACCTGCCGGAAAAGAATCACCAGGCCTTTGTTCAATTATAGATTTTCCCAACTGCTTCCCTGGAAATTCTGATTCAGGTGGCCTGTGTTGGAGAACACTGCTTTTGGCTATAGTCTGTATTTTTAGGTCATCTGCATATGAAAATGAGTATCCTCCTTCATAGGAAAGAAAGGTGATGTTATTGGCTCATAGGAAGGTTTTTGCATTACATTGAGCCTACCTAGAACTAATCTCATCACCAGAAAAATCACACATTGTCTCTTGCTTAATTTTCTTACTGAAAAACATCTCTGGAGGAACATACTTTGGGGTAGATTCTGGTATGGTGGAATATTGGTGCTTTTTCTGTTTTAAATTTGAAACTTTGAAGCAGCAGGTTGGCTGAATTTTGTATATATCTCTCAAAGCCAATGGCTTTTCTTTTGCTATTCCTTTCTTGGACTGAATAGCAACCACTAAATAGAGAGACACCCAAGACAGCACAGATATTTTTGGAGAGTATTTGCTGGCATTATTCTGGAAAGTATAAAAAAGTTCTACCTACTGATTTTCCCGTACCAAAACTTCGAAGCAGCTCTTAACATCTGGTCCACATATGTACTCTCTTTCTATCCCAATTGAAAAGTACAACCTCAAATGAATAATGCTGGGAATTTTGCTGTCTGCCCTCTGTTGTGAGCTTAGTTCCTCCTTCCTCACATCAGGCAGGTCCCTTCAGAGTTGCAAATATCAATCATTTCACTCCTTTCTTAGATGCTTTATACTTGTGGTTTTTCTCCAATTTCAGAGTCGGTAAGACATCACTCATGAACCAGTATGTGAACAAGAAATTCAGTAATCAGTACAAAGCCACAATAGGAGCAGACTTTCTGACAAAGGAAGTGATGGTGGATGACAGACTAGTTACAATGCAGGTAAGCACACGTCTCAACTTGGTCAACCAAGCTTTGTTAGTTAATTGAGTCCTAACCCTTTTCTTCATGTTTACGCCTTTTCCCTCCCTCTTCTCAAATCCCACTATTAATTTTCATAGCTAGTTGGCTACAGGTAGAATTGCCAGATGAAATATAAGACATCAAATCAAGGATGTTCCAAATATAGCATGGGACAGACTAAAAATTAAACTGGATTTTCTGTTTGTTTTGTTGTATTTGCTAAATTTAGCAACGTACAGGTCCCTTCTTGTGTCTCCAGAATGTCTCACTTTTACTTTTCTTAATATCCTTTGCTAGTGCTTTAGGCCAAAAAAAAAAATCTTTGTGTCTCTCCTACATTCTTAAAGCCATTCAATAGTTCCACTATTTTTCTGTCTTCTTTTAATCTAGCCTATCTGTCGCTGCCAAAGTTGTGTTTCTAGTAAACCAATCTTTTTTTCCTCCATGTATAAGCTTAATTTTTTAGGGTCTTCCCTTTCAACAGTTAGGATAAAAAATAGATTCTTTATATGGCCATTTGAAAGCCTTCACAGTCTGGCTACAAAATATTCTTCACTCCTGCCAGTTCTTCCAAATAATGTGCACATGATTCTGCTTCCAGCAAGGCCCCTTTGCCACATATGCACCTTCCATATTAAAATGATGTCCCTGGGTGACTAAGTCTCTAGCTACAAATACAATTCTTATTCCACTGTAGTCCTAGCAATTAGCAGATTCACTGAAATGTTTGAATGATACAGATTACAGGTAGAAGTTTTTACACGCATTGATCTCAAGCTGTGACATGTTCCCAAAGGGGAATGATCTGACACTTCTGACTCACACACTCGGGACACAGTTACTTTGGATCTCCCTTCCTGACCTCCCCGACACATGCACATAGAAATGTTCAAAATATAACTAACATTTAAAGAAGCCAAGCCTGAGAAAATGACATTTCCAGATTATAGGAAAGAAAAGGGAACTGAAAGTTGGTGATAAGCTCAGGGGCTCCTGCCATGGTGATTTGCAAGTTTATAACAAGGACTTGAGTTTTATCAATATGCAGAGACAGGAGATGGGACTGTACAAGGTGGGGGAGCTAGAACTGAGAATACCCTTGGACACACATGGATATATATACACATACTTGTCTAGGATCTTGGAAAGGTGTGACAAAAGCAGGACCAAGTACCTCAGCCAAAGAAGGTGGCAAAGTTTGTGTGTGAAGTGTAGGCTTGGGGCGTTACATCCTTCTTTGAACCTCAGTTCCACTCTGTTCATATGTGTATTCTGAATTTATACTCTGTACAAAAGTCTTTTTCTGGAAGAATTTAAAATAAACTCTTGTCACTCCTGGAAAAAACAAAAATAAAACTACCTTACAGAGACATTTATAACCCATGGGCAGAAGATGAGCTCATAGCCACCTGAGGAAGTAATGTACCACAAGATATGTTCACAATGACTAGAGACTTTTGAAAAAGGAATAGAAACCATAATGAAAAGAGATACTATTAAAAAATGAGGATCTGGAAAACTTAGAACTTAAAGAAGTGAAAAGAGTAAACTGTAACAGATAAGCAGATTACCTTGAAGAAAACCCCAAGCTACAGAACACCAAAAAGCAAAATCATGAGAGCAACTAGAGAGTAAAGGCAGATTACTTATAAAAGAACATCAGTAAAATGGGTGAGTTCTCAGCAGCAACAGAAGGCGGAAAGGAATGGAATACCTTAGAGGTGCTAGGGATAAAGTACCACCTGAAGATTTTACATGTGCTTGCTGCTTCCTGTACCAGGAGAAACAGACCTGGAGAACCAAGTTTTGGTTTTGATAGTCATATGGGCTGACTCAGAAGTCAGAGCCTGGCCCCCGTAAGGTTGGGGGTCTTATACTAGAGCACCCCACACACTGCTAATCTAGAATACTGGAGTACAGAGTAAATGCCATCTGGAGAACCACAGGGCACTGAGTGGAGTCTGGAAAGAGTGGGAAAGTGAGTGTGTTCCTGAGAGGCTGAAACAAAAGGTTGGCCTTTGTGCTTTTGCAGCCAACTTAAAAGACTAGAACTAAATGAAAACTATCATCTCTGGACAAAGGCATCATCATTCTAGATCTTGGGGAATCCTCACATTTTTCAAGGACTTTTAGCAGTTTACAATAAAAGATAATCCAAATAAGAAAACAGGCAAGAACCAGTGGAAATGGTAATTTCAGAATTTTTTTAATATTTAAAGAAATAGGGCAATCTAATATATCTGCAGAGAAAAAAAACTAATCAAGTCACATAGGTTAACAGAACTTTTAAAAATGAAATACAATAACCAAAAAATTGGAAATTCAGAGAATATTTTTAGCAGCAGATAAAATACATGAGAAGAAGGCTGAAAGGAAAAATGGTGGGAAATAAGAATGAGAGGTGAAAAAAGGATTCAGTGTGTAGATCAGACCTGTTGAAAGAAAAAATAATTTAAAGTTTTTTTTTTTAATCCTCACCTGAGGGTATATTTATTGATTTTAGAGAAAGGGAATGGAGGAAGAGAGAGAAGGAGAGAAATACCATGTGAGAGAGAAACATCGATCGGTTGCCTCTTGTACGCACCCGACCAGGGACTGAATCTATAACTTAGGCATGTACCCTGACAGGGAATCGAACCCGCCACCTTTCAGTTTACTGGACAGTGCTCCAACCAACTTAGCCACACTGGTCTGGGCCAAACTTACTTTTAATCAGTCTCAAAAGAAAGAGAATAGATCAAAGATAGTATTTGCTGAGAATTTCCCAGAACATAAGTGGCACCAATCCACAGATTTTGGAAGCCCAAGTTCCAAAAAGGATAAATAAAAAAGAAGTCTACATAAATCATCATGAAATTGCACCAAAAAAAAAAAAGAAACAACACACTTGAAAGCAGCCAGAGTTAAAAAATGACCTTGAATGTCATAGCATTTCTTTTGACTGTCATCGGTAATGATGGAAATCAACAGTTAATGGAATATATTCTCTAAGAAACTGTCGGCATAATATTCTGTCCCTACTGAAAGTATCTTCCAAGAATGAAAGCATGCACCATGAATTTCTAGTAGTGAAAATTCTAAAGGACGTACTTTAGGCAGTAGAGAAGGTCTGAGATAAGATAAAACTAAGATAAACTTTAATAGTATGCATGTGTCTATTTTTAGAATTGTGACCCTAATATTAAGAGCATGTAACTCCCAAACTAGTATAAAGGGACTAGGATTGGAACTGTAATTTAAATGTGTAGGGGAAGATTAGTGACTGTTGTGGGTTTTTATATTTCTTATGTTCTGGAAGAAGCTAGAAATCAGTCACTATTAAACATTAGCTAGAGTCAAATATCATGAAAAATTTAAAGGTAACCTACTATGAACCCATAGTAATTAACATGGTATGATATTGTCATAGATATACAGATCAAGGGAGCAGAGGGCAGAAAAACAGGGCACACCTAGCTGGACACTGAATAGAGTGGACTTCGAAGGTGGCTAGGGAAGGGAGGAGGAGTTAGACAGTCAACAATGTTGGGTCAGTGGCTTTTCATTTAGGTGGAGAGTAGCCAGAGGTTTCAAGACCTGGATAGCAGAAATACAAAATGAAAACTTTAAAAATGAATATACAGGGGTTTTTTACTCTAGGCTTTTAAAATAGAGAAAGCTCAAGTCGTAAAGATTGGTAGGAGACCTCATTAAATAAAACATCCGATTAACAAGATTCCCAAAATTAAAAAAATAAACCATAGACCAAGAGAAAATGTTGATAATGCATAATAGTATCCAATGGACAGATGTCAACAGGCAACTCTCAGAAGAAACCTTAATGTCCAGTGGCTTGATCTCAGGCAGTTGCAGATTTTAAAGGCTGATGGAGCAGCTTAGTGCTGCCTTAGGCACAGGGGAAGCTTCCTCCATTTCTCCCTTGCTCGGTCCCTCCCTTGGTCCCTCCCTCCCTCCCTCCCTCCCTTTCAAATGGTTGCAGTTGGAAAAATTTCCCTGCTGTTGTGTGGCTTAAAGAAATTCCCTAGGTCTTGTGACTCCAGATACTCTGAGGGTCTGATTGAACAGTGTTTAATAAAATGGATTATGAATACATCAGGGATGTCAGCCCCAACAGGACAGGTTCCAAGTGCCTGCTGTGCTGTGGGACCATGATGCACTGCACTGGCCCAGACAGGTGACAGAAGGACTACAACAACCGATAATCAGCCCTCTGGACAAATACAAGATTCAGGGGGATTGATCCCACTGGTTCTTGTATCATGAGCATTAGATTTAATCACCTGGAAGGCCTACAGCCAGTTGGAAAAAATAAAGCTATGCAAGTTATCATTATATATCAAGGATGACTGTTTGGAGAGACTTAGGCAACTTGAAAATTGACAAAAATGATTGTTGAAAATGATTTCATATGGAATATCACAGACAAAGGCATTATTGTTTTTGCATTATTTGTTACGTGAACTTCTAGACTAAGAGAAAAAGAAAACCTGGTCGAAACCTTTAAGACAGCATTACTTTCTCTGGGACTAAAATTAGACTTAAAGTAAAATAAAATTCTGTAAGTATCTCATTTCAGTATAAAGTATCATTTGAAATTGTTGATCCTAGTCAATAAATGTTATATAATCATCAACAGAACTATAAGGATATCACATGACATTTTAGAAGCAGAGTTCAAAAATATTCAGACTCTCACTAAAGTTACTGAAATGTACAACACAGGTACTCTTTATTGTATTTCAACAGTAACTTGTTACATTTTACTCTAAAGTTATTGAAGCATGTAAGTGTAAATGTACAATTATGGGGGGGAAAGGCTGACAAAATCAGTTTTTGCTAGGTTATAGGGTTTTATCTCAAGCTGGTGATGTGAATGTAGTATATCAGTGCAGATTTTTAATATAGAGACTACTATTTTGCTCTGTATTGTCAAGCGTGTACAATCTAGCAATTCTAGAGAAACTTACCTGTGGGCAGAAGAAGAGAAGTGTAGTAAGAATTTGCAGCCTTGGGAATAACTTGGATGACTAGGGAATAAACTGTGGTGTATTAAGGCAGTGGAATACTACATAGTTGTTAACTGCTGGAAAAGAAAAAAAGGAAGTTGCAAAAAGATGTACAGGATCATAGTATTTATGTAAGGCAAACCTTCAAGAGCTGCTTGCTTCTGTGGAGGAAGGAAAGGAAATGCATGAGGAAGAATTAACTTCTTTATTTTTTTTAAACTTACATTAAAATGGTATTGTTAATGTTTGTTACATTAAGAGTAGTAGGTGTATTTTGAATATAAAATATAAAGTGGTTCAATTAAAATATTAAAAATTTAAAAAGATCAGAGTCAGCCATAGAACTTTTCTTTTCTAAATTTGAGGCAGATTAATTTTGGAAACGTGCTAATAACCACCACTCCCCTTCCCTCACCCAACTTTCCAGCTTTTTAAATAAATTCCTTACTTTACTTTCTCTGTGTATTTCAGTTCCAAATACCCTTTGCTACCCCCCAAGAGTTCTTACATAGTTCTCTTGGTACTCTATCCTGAAGAAGCAATCTGAAATACAGAAAGGCTCTGTATGTTAATGTTTATTGAGTTACTTACAATTATGGAAAATTGGCAGCAATGTTGTTGTAACAAAACAGGAATGAAGTTGTTCACTGAGTTTGTTTTTCTAGTTTGTTGAGCAACAGTAAAGATGTGAGTTATTGCTGGGGCCAAAGTTGTTGTGTTTTGCAGGGCAAAAGAGTAATATGAGAGAGCATATAGAGTGATGTGTAGTATATGGTTTCAGCTACATAAAACCCTACAGCGTACGTAGAATAAGACATTCGCTAGTGAAGATGGTCTCTAGGTAGATGCCAAGTGTTTGAGTTTTTTTTCCTTTGCTCATCCAAATTACATAATAACAATGTTATATCTCTAATGAAAAATATTTTATTGTTTGTCCAAGCCTACATTTAAATTTTTCTTCTATATTTGCTCTTTATAGCAGTAGTTGTCTCTTTCTTCTTTCCGTATTCCCTTCCACCTCAGTCCCCTTTTATGAGAAAAGGCTCACTTTGCCACTCTAAGAGATAGATGTTCAATGTAGAATGCTGAAAAACCAGAAAACCACAAGGGCACATACAACCAGCAGTCCCTCTCCTGGTTATCTACTATCAGTAGAGATCCTTTTTTGCCTCCTCTGTATGTACTTTGCTTATGGTATTGGGCACAAGCAGCATTTGGTCCCCTGCAGACTAATTAGATTTGAATTTGTCTTTATTGCCCTGTAACCTTATATGTATGCCATCATCACATCCTTCTGGTTCTGTTTGAGTGGCTACTTCTTTACCCAGTGGTTTGAACTCTTTGCCACATTGCCAACATTTATATGATAGTCTCCTAACTCCATTCCTGCAATCAGGGCCTATCCCTGTGGCTGCTAGGACATGTCCTATTTTAGAAAGGTTATTCCCAGAGTGAGTAGTGTGTGTATTGGTTGGAGTTGCTTGGGAATGGAATGGGTTGCCAAAGTCAGGCTTTCTCCTGCCACCAGAGGTGTGGCCAAGAGTATGATCGACCACATTGTCATGTACTGATTATGGAGGGCCATGTACATCAGAGGAAAAGGCTGAGATGGGCTTATCAGAGCTTCCCTCAGAGGAGTATAACCTTTGGGTTCCTGGGAATTATTATTCAGATCACCTAGCTGGTGTGGCTCAGTGGATTGAGTGCCAGCCTGCAAACAAAGGGTCGCCAGTTTGATTCCCAGTGTAGTGCACATGCCTGGGCTGCGGGCCAGGTCCCCAGTAGAGAATGCGCGAAATGCAACCACACATTGAAGTTTCTCTCCCTCTCTTTCTCCTTCCCTTCCCCCTTCTAACAATAAATAAAATCTTTAAAATAATAAAGCTAAGATGTGCTCTCTGTCTTTCACTAACACTGGTACCTACAGTTAGCCTGGGCTATTGTTGGCCCTCTGTGAAGGAAAGCTCAGCCTACCGGGTCATGTTGCTTTATTGAATCATCTTTGAGGGTGTTTGTTTGTTTTTTAATCCTCACCTGAGGACATGTTTATTGATTTTAGAGAGAGGAAGAGAAGGAGAGAAATGTCAGTCGTTTGCCTTTCACACGTGCCTCATCTGGGACCAAACCCGCAACATGGGCATGTGCCCTGACTGGGAATCGAACCTGCGGCCCTTTGGTTTATGGGATGACACTCCAACCAACCAACTGGGGTTTTAATGCTGCCATTTCCAACCTTCCAGACTGACCAGTGTGGCCCTGTTAGCGATCTAGGGCAGTGAGGAATCCCAGCCTTGCCGTTGAACCTTGGATGGCAAGTCTTTTGAGCTGGTCACTAGTACCTGTTCTTTTGATTAAAAGGTGACTTTCATGTATACCCTAGAATGTGTTCTTGTTGTCTTTTATTTTATCCCTATGTCAGGGTTTTTTCTTTGCTTTGTTTTTTAATTGAGGTATAAATAAAACATACTAACTTTGGGGGGTGAACTATATACAGTAAAATACATAGATAAATATATACAGTCTAGAAATCACCAGTGAGAAATCACCTCCCCATATTTCCATCACCCCTTCCCAGAAAGTTCTCAGAGGACATACATGTTAAGTTTATAGTCTGAATTTTACATAACTATCTACCACATGATCACCACATGGATCAAGATTAAAAATTTTTTTTAACACTGTGGCGTTCATACTCACTGTCATCCCTCATAGACACATGCACTCACACATGTGCTATTTGCCAGGGTTGTTTTGGATACTGTTGTGGTGACTTCTGTTTCCTGATTTCTGGAGTCACTTATCTTTGGATGGCCCCATAATCCATCTCATTTCCTCTGGCATGCCCTGACCCCAAGGAATAAACGTTTTGTCTCTCACAGATCTGGGACACAGCAGGACAGGAACGGTTCCAGTCTCTTGGTGTGGCCTTCTACAGAGGTGCAGACTGCTGCGTTCTGGTGTTTGACGTGACTGCCCCCAACACATTTAAAACCCTTGATAGTTGGAGAGATGAGTTTCTCATCCAGGCCAGTCCTCGGGATCCTGAAAACTTTCCTTTCGTGGTGTTAGGAAACAAGATTGATCTTGAAAACAGACAAGTAAGTGCTGAAGATGGTGGGGATCATAAATGTGGATGTTTATAAACCTACCCTCATGCAGGTTATTGTTATTGAATCATGGAAAAGGCCTTCTTTTAAAAGTGGCAGGTAAGTTTGGGATGACAGGTGCTGTTTTTAGCTTTGATTGGTATAAAACCACATGCCTCAAGGACCAATACCCATACAGTATGTCTGTGTGTGCCCCCATATTGAGGGTAGGGGAATAAATAGCTAATGAGTTACCTGCTCAGCCTTTGGAAATGGGGTCTTGCTCTCTAATTTGTTAAAGGCATACCATCTTGGCTTCCCTTATGGCAAAATAGTGACAGTGATGCCTGCAGTGGTATTCCCTTTGAAGTCATACCAATAAAGCAGCAAGTCTATCTTGTGGTGCTACCTATACTGGCCACCCTTCTTGATCTGTCCCAGGGAAACAATTTGACTTGAGGCCTTGTGGTATTTTGCACTTTGGTCTTTTAGGTTTAAAGGCAGAACTGAATGTAAGGCCTGGCTCATGCACTCTTTTTTTAAGGATATTGTATTGATTATGCTATTAAGAGTTGTACCATTTTTCTGTCCCCTTTATTCCCCTTCGCCCTGCACCCCCTTCCCACCAGTGTTCCCTCCACACCTTAGTTCATGTCCATGGATCGTATATATAAGCTCTTTGGCTTCTCCATTTTCTATACTATTCTTAACCTCCCCCTGTCTATTTTGTACCTTTCATTTATGCTTCTTATTCCCTGTACCTTTTACCCCAGTCTAGTTCTACCCCTGTTCTAGTTGTTTGCTTAGTTTGTTTTTATTTTTAGGTTTAGTTGTTGATAGTTGTGAGTTTGTTTTCATTTTACTCTTCATAGTTTTGATCTTCTTTTTTTTTTCATGTCTTTTTTTTTTTTTAATTAATTTATTTACTTTTTAAATACATTTGTCTCTGCCTTCCCCCCCCTCTTTCCCTTGCCCCCTCCCACCTTCCCTCCCTCAGCTCTTCCCCTTTGGTTTTGTCCATGAGTCCTTGCTATATGTTCCTTGACTTTCCCCTTCCCTTCCCTTTCCCTGCCCCGCCCTTCCCTCTTGTCTCTGTTGATTTCTTTTCCTTTCAGTGTTGCTGGTCATATTTGCCTTGCTTCTTTGCATTGTTGGTTAGGTTCCGCTTATAGGTGAGATCATATGGTATTTGTCTTTCGCCCCCTGGCTTATTTCGCTTAGCATGATGCTCTCCAGTTCCATCCATGCTGTTGCGAAGTTTAGTACTTCTTTTTTTCTTTCTGCTGCGTAGTATTCCATTGTGTATATGTACCATAATTTTTTGATCCAATCATCTACTGATGGGCATTTAGGTTGCTTCCAACACTTGGCTATTGTAAATTGTGCTGCTATGAACATTGGGGTGCATAGGTTCCTTTGTATTGGCGTTTTGGTGTTCTCAGGGTATAGTCCCAGCAGGGGAATCGCTGGATCAAAAGGCAGTTCCATTTTCAGCTTTCTGAGGAAATTCCACACTGCTTTCCATAGTGGCTGCACCAGTCTGCATTCCCACCAACAGTGGACTAGAGTTCCCTTTTCTCCACAGCCTCGCCAGCACCTGTTGTTTGTGGATCTGTTTATGATGGCCATTCTGACCGGTGTGAGGTGGTACCTCATGGTGGTTTTGATCTGCATTTCTCTGATGGCTAGTGATGCAGAGCATCCTTTCAAATGCCTCTGGGCCCTCTGTATCTCCTCCTTAGAAAAGCATCTGCCCAGGTCCTTTGCCCATTTTTTGATTGGATCGTTTGTCTTCTTGGAGTCAAGTCGAGTGAGTTCTTTGTATACCTTGGAGATCAAACCTCTATCTGATGTATCATTAGCAAATATATTTTCCCATACGGTTGGCTCCCTTTTCATTTTGCTGATGTTTTCTTTTGCCGTGCAGAAGCTTCTTATTTTGATGAGGTCCCACTTGTTTATTCTTTCCTTTATGTCCCTTGCTTTAGGAGACATATCAGTGAAAAAATTGCTGCGTGGGATATCTGAGAGTTTCCTGCCAATGTTCTCCTCTAGGACTTTGATGGTGTTGCGACTTCTATTTAAGTCTTTTATCCATCTTGAGTTTATTTTTGTGTATGGTGTCAGCTGATGATCCAATTTCAATTTTTTGCATGTAGCCATCCAGCTCTCCCAACACCATTTGTTGAAGAGGCTGTTATTGCTCCATTTTATGCTTCTGCCCCCTTTGTCAAATATTAGATGTCCATAGAGACCTGGGCTTATTTCTGGGCTTTCTATTCTGTTCCACTGGTCTATGGGTCTGTTCTTGTGCCAGTACCAGATTGTTTTGAGTATAGTGGCTTTGTAGTAGAGTTTGATGTCCGGTATTGTGATCCCTCCTACTTTGTGTTTCTTTCTCAAAATTGCTGCAGCTATTCGAGGTCGTTTATGGTTCCATATAAATTTTTGAAATGTCTGTTCTATTTCTGTGAAATACGTCATTGGTATCTTAATAGGGATTGCGTTGAATCTATAAATTGCTTTTGGTAGTATGGACATTTTAAGGATATTAATTCTTCCAATCCATGAGCACGGTATATGCTTCCATTTATTTGTGTCTTCCTTAATTTCTTTTTTCAATGTTGTATAGTTTTCTGCATACAGGTCTTTTGTGTCTTTGGTTAAATTTATCCCTAGGTACTTTATCTTTTTTCGTGCTATATCGAATGGTATATTTTTCCTGATTTCTTCTTCTTCTATTGCATTGCTGGTGTACAAAAACGCCTTTGATTTCTGAATGTTGACTTTGTATCCTGCTGTTTTGCCAAATTCACTTATTAGGTTGAGGAGTTTTTTGGTAGAGTCTACAGGGTTCTCTATGTACACTATCATGTCATCTGCAAACAATGATAGTTTGACTTCCTCCTTTCCTATTTGGATGCCTTTTATCTCTTTCTCTTGTCTGACCGCTGTGGCTAGGACTTCCAATACGATGTTGAAAAGAAGCGGTGAGAGCGGACATCCTTGTCGTGTTCCCGATCTTAGTGGGAAAGCTTTCAGTTTTTGCCCATTGAGTATGATATTGGCTGTAGGTTTTTCATATATGGCCTTTATTACGTTGAGGAATGCCCCATTGATTCCCATTTTGCTGAGTGTTTTGATCATAAATGGGTGCTGTACCTTGTCAAATGCTTTTTCTGCATCTATCGAGATGATCATGTGGTTTTTGTCTTTTCTTTGATTTATGTGGTGTATCACGTTTACTGATTTGCGTATATTGAACCATCCCTGCATCCCTGGGATGAATCCCACTTGATCGTGATGGATAATCTTTTGAATGTATTGCTGGATGCGGTTTGCCAATATTTTGTTGAGGATTTTAGCATCTATGTTCATCAGCGAAATTGGCCTGTAGTTTTCTTTCTTTGTAGGGTCTTTATCTGGTTTTGGGATCAGGGTGATGCTGGCCTCATAGAAGGAGTCTGGCAGTCTTCCCTCCTCTTGGATTTTTTGGAATAGTCTGAGAAGGACAGGGGTTAGCTCTTCCTTAAATGTTTTGTAAAATTCTCCTGGGAAACCGTCTGGCCCTGGACTTTTGTGTGCTGGGAGTTTCTTGATTACTGCTTCAATTTCCCCAAATGTTATCGGTCTGTTCAAGCTTTCTGTTTCTTCCTCCTTCAGTGTTGGAAGATTATACTTTTCTAAAAATTTGTCCATTTCATCAAGATTTTCAAATTTCTTGGCATATAATTGTTCATAATAGTTTCTGATGATCATTTGTATTTCTGTGGTATCAGTTGTTATTTCTCCTCTTTCATTTCTGATATTATTAATTTGGGTCCTCTCCCTTTTTTTCTTGATGAGTCTGCTTAAAGGTTTGTCCACTTTATGAATCTTTTCAAAGAACCAGCTTCTGGATTGGTTGATCCTCTGAATTGTTCTTTTTGTCTCTATGTCATTCAGTTCTGCTCTAATCTTGACTATTTCCTTCCTTCTACTTGCTCTGGGATTTATTTGTTGTTGTTTCTCCAGTTCTTCAAGTTGTAGTGTTAGGTCTTTTATTTGAAATGTTTCTTTTTAAGGTAAGCCTGTATTGCTATGAACTTCCCTCTCAGGACCGCCTTTGCTGTGTCCCATAGGTTTTGGACAGTTGTCTGTTCATTTTCATTTGTTTCCAGAAATTTTTTTATTTCTTCTCTTATCTCATTATTGACCCATTCATTGTTTAATAGTGTACTGTTCAGTCTCCATGAGTTTCCACGTTTTTGAAGTTTCTCTTTGAGTTTGATTTCGAGTTTCAAGGCCTTGTGGTCTGAGAAAAAGTTTGGTATTATTTCAATTTTCCTGAATTTACTGAGGCTTGCTTTGTGTCCTATCATGTGGTCTATCTTTGAAAAACTGCCATGAGCATTTGAAAAGAATGTGTATTTTTCTTCTTTGGGATGTAAGATTCTATATATGTCAGTTAAGTCTCTTTGATTCAGTGTTTCATTCAGCGCCACAATATGTTTATTAATGTTTTGTTTGGAAGATCTGTCCATTTTGGACAGTGGGGTGTTGAAATCCCCTACTATCAGTGTGTTGCTATCTATATCTTTTTTGAAGTCATCCAACAATTTCCTTATACACTTGGGGGCTCCTATATTGGGAGCATATAAGTTTACAATGTGGATGTCTTCTTGATAGATTCTTCCTTTAAGTATGATAAAGTGCCCCTCTGGGTCTCTCTTTATGGCCTTTGCTTTGAAATCGACTTTGTCTGATACAAGTATGGCAACGCCAGCCTTTTTCTCATGTCCATTTGCTTGGAATATTATTTTCCATCCCTTTACTTTCAATCTGTGTAGGTCTTTTGCTCTGAGGTGGGTCTCTTGTAGGCAGCCTATGTGTGGGTCATGTTTTCTTATCCATTCAGCTCCCCTGTGTCTTTTGATTGGGGCATTTAGTCCATTCACATTGAGAGATATTACTGATAGAAACTTACTCATCTTTTCTCTTTGTACTTGTGTTCCTCTCTGTCTCATTCTTTT